GTTCTCACCATACTGAGAGGAGGAAAAGGAAAAGCCAATTTACTGACCAGACTTTGGGTAAACATTATGCTGTGATGGTGGAGAATATTATTAGGAATCATTTAAAGGTTCTAAAGATAAACTAATTTGTCAGGCTAATTTACCCTCTTACATGTCAATTAATTGCTTCTGCATCACCCTATAACAGAAATACTGCTACAGGGCGGCACGGGTGTGCAAAATCATTTGCGGCCTCGGCTGTCAGTCACCAGGTCCCAGCTGGTGATTCCCCGCTGGCACCCGGCGACCTCCGAGGATTTCCAATGGGGGAGAGATCTGTACTGTAAACAATACAGATCTCTCCCTGTCAGCTACTGCACACTGATTTGTATGGCTGTGCATAGCAAAGCCATACAAAGCAGTGTGCTTACAGTGAAACACACACACAGCCCACATAGTAAAAGAGCACACAGTTAACCCTTTAATCACCCCACATGGTAACCCCTTCCTGCCCAGTGCCATTAGTACAGTGTTAGTGCTTTTTATTACACCAAGTCAGTTCCCCCTAGTGTCCAAATGCCAGCCGCAGTCCCGCTGTAAGTTGCTGATCGCTGCCATTTGTAAACGCTATAATTTTCACCTAAACCAAATAATTTACACATATTGGGATTTTTTTTTAGTAAGACATGTAGCAGAATACATTTTAGCCTAAATTTATGATGAAATTTAATTTAAATTTTTTTTCTTACTGGACGTGTTTAATAGCACAAAGTCAAAAATATAGTTTTTTTTTTTTTTTTTTTTTTCAAAATTGTCTATATTTTTCTGTTTATAGCGCAAAAAAATAAAAAATGCACAGATGATCAAATACCACCAAAAGAAAGCTCTATTTGCGGGGAAAAAAGGTCATAAATTTCATTTGGTTGCAGCGTTGCATGACTGCAATTGTCAGTTAAAATAACGTAGCGTTTATTGCAAATAAATGGCCTGGTTAGGAAGGGGGTAAATCCTCTGGAGGGCAAGTGTTTAAGGCCTGAGTGTATCTCAACAATCACCCAACTGTTGGAGGTACAAGATGGAGCCCTCAAGCAAACTAAACTGAAACCTTCTGCTACATTGCCTCCTAGTGGCAGAAATGCATATTTCTCCTGTTTGAGAACTTCACTGAGTATCAGTATTACTTGAATACTTGAATTGTATTCTAGGATTTGCTGATCTTCAGCTGAAAGAACTTGCAATAATTTTAAACTTTACAACTTTAATTTAGGTCTTCATTTTATATCATTTGAATATCATGTCATAGCTATATTATTTATCACTGTAAATTATAAAAAACATATTCTACACTTTTTTTTTTTTTTTTTTTTTTTTAATTTTTTCTTTCCCAGTTTTTCTGTTTTTTGTTGTTTTGTTTTTTTTTTTTTGTTTTTTGTTTTTTTTTTTTTTCCTAGGCCTTTCCATCTCTAGTGGTGTGTCTCATGTTTGCATGGGCACAGCAGCCCATTCATTTAAATTTTAAAGAAAAAACCCTGACCCCTTTTTAAAAAAGTGGCTGTATGGAACCGAATAGTCCTGAAAACAAGCTGTGTTTTACGATACACGGGAGAAGTTCTGGAATAACAAGGAAAAAAAAAAAATCTATAATCATCTAGGTGGGTACAGCATCAGTCTGCTGTTGCATCTGTACCCTGCTGCTTCTAAGACCAAGAACTGAGCGATCAAAGACTGCTGATTGCTTAGTTCTTGGTATTGCGTGAGCAGGGAGCCGGTGACTGTCAGTCACCAGCTCTCTGCTGTGCCCCTCCAGCACTCACCAGAGCACCGGGCTGTGGAGGGGATGGGAGTGGCTGGCTTGGGCTCTCAGTGGCTTGCTGAGAGGATGAGCCAGCTGCTGGTCCAGGCATCTGGGTGGATCCCGACATTAAAGTTGGGATCTCTCTAGAGTCTGGACCAGCTCTGTGACATCAGCTGACAGTGGGCTTTAACCTGCTGTTGTCTGAAAACAAGTCACAGGAGTACTTCTGCGATTCCCAAAAGAAGTAGGGCCAATGAGTTTTGGCCTTACTTTACCTTTAATGACACCCTCCATGCAGGAGTTCTTCTCCTTAGGTCCCCAGGAGAAGTAGGACCAAAGAGCTTTGGTGCTACTTCTCCTTTGATGGCACCCCCATGTTTGCAAAAGAGCAGTGTGTTTTGCCTGTGCGCCCCCAACCCGCATATGTGTTAACGTAGGCTAAGTCTGGTGCATCAGATGTTGGAGAAAAAGAAAGTGATGAAGGGCTGTAACCTTAGCTTGAGGATCTTTATAGCTGAATATTTGATTGATTTGTATTCTTTTTATTCTCAGGACACATTTCATTTTGAGTGTGTACTATAAACAATTTACCAGTCAGAAGAGAAAACTGCATATGCTTCAGATGATTTTCTGCGGTTAATGCCCAGCGCTAACTATAAGTGTTGTGTTTGTTTTTTTTTTTGTTTTTTTTTTTTTTTTAAATGTATTTGCTAGAGAGAGTAAGATTTAGCGCATATGTCAAGTTTTAAATGCTGTTTTGTCCCTGTTTCAAATTTCCTTTCACTTCCCACTTGGTGCTACACCTATCACATAGGAATTGATAAGAAATATTGCAAATGGGGACACAAAGTATAAAAATGTGACCTGTTCTAACCCTTCCAAACCACAAAAACAATGTGGCTGGAGTAGAACTTTAAAGAGCAGACATCTTACAACTGTTGGAGAACAGTTAGTTTTTTTTTGTGGTTTTTTTTTTTCATTTTATTGCTGCTAATCTCCTGCGACCACTCTGCCGTACATGCTTTTGCTACAGTGTAGACTGCACCTCTGCTCTAGACTGAATTTTTGATAGTAACAACTATGAACCATGCCTACGCAATGTGTATATGTACATAGTTGTTTTTAGTCTGCATTGTGGGTGCAAGTAACTGGGTAAAAATGCAGTTGCACACTTTGTAGAAGAATGTTGTCCATCACAAGGTACTTTTTAAAAAGCTGCAAAGTAAAAATATTGAGAAAAAAACTACAGCATTAAAGCTACATTAACATGTGGTCATAGCATATTTGAGATTTTAGTGATTGGGTTTAAATGTACTTTTAATTGTACTTTTAGTGGTGTTTTTCTTAAAAGTGAGCAGCAGGTAGTCACTTTGTCACACGGAAACAATTTATATTGACACTTCAGTTATTTCGCATTCATCAACCTGACACACATGGCTTCCTAGCCAAATAATTGTCATGCTAAAGTAATCTTCTTTAAAGGATAAGACATTGATTCAGCCCCTGTTACCTGCAAACCCCATCTAAGCCAAATTGGAAAACGATTAAGCTTTTTGGGAAAGAAATCAATTTGTATCAAGAAGCCATCAGATCCTGTGGCCTTTCCTATACTGTGCATGGTTAAGCACCTTGAGCTGCTGGCAAGTATTACAATGTTGACATAAAGTGATGCTCCGAGAACCAAATCAGATCATGTCAGTAGACAGCTCCTGATGCCTCAGTGAGCCTTGTTACCACTGTTGCTCATCTGTTTGGACAGCTCTGCCATGCACATGTCTGTGATGCTTTTCAGAAAGTGTAATAGATCTCTGTGCTGTCATTGTTTCTTTCTATGTGATGCTGCTGTAAAGTGACATGCTAATGCAGGTTATTTAAAAACATAAGGCCCGCTTTTATTATTTACAGGAATCTGGAAGAGACAGCTGTCAATCAGAGCTTGGAAATGAAAGCTTTATTAAATTGTGCCTAAGGCTCAGATGTTTTGTATCAGGTTATCTGTTTTCGTAATGTAAAATGCTGTGTTTTGAATACAGCAATTCTTGATTTCAGTGGAACTATGACAGAAGTGTTTGTTGGGCTAACAAAAACATTATTAAAAGTAAACCATGTATATTAAGTTTAAAAGTTTTTGTTTTGTTGCTGAGTAGCACTTTTTTATATTTTGTTAGAAAATAATTTTGCCAATCCACTTTTTTACAGGCATTCAACTTTGCTTTAAAATTATGTTTGGCTTTCTAAGAAAAAAGTCCAGCACTGCCTCTGTGCTCTGAGACAATGTTATACCAATAGTAAAGATATTGTGAATTATGCTAGCAGAGAGAGAGGGGGAAATAGTTTCCCTCCTCTGACACATTTAGATTTGTTGTTCGCACAGTTGTAGAGAATATAATTCACAGAGCATACAATTTGTGTAATTCTCCACCTGCTGGCTTCAAGTGGTAAATATGAAATTCTACTGAAATATTACTTTATTTAAAAAATATATATGTTTTTAGTACTTTAGTGCTAAAACACTTCGAATTCACTTTTAAATGGAACAATGTGATGCGTATTTTCACACTAATGTCTGGTGATTTTCAAAACTGAGGTCTACGAAGCTTTTTTTCATTGATGACAATCAATATAATGTGAGTGACTTGCTATCTACAATATATTAGCAGTAGGAGTCCAACTTAAAGGGAACAGATAAAAGAGAATTAAAGCTTCTTCTGTAACCTTAATAGATGGTTGTTTAGGGAAATGCTGCTTATTTGGGTCCTCTTATTTAAAGATTCCTTGCTTGTATTTGGTGTAGGTATAATTGACAGCTTGCAGAGATTGGAATCAGTGGCACAGCTAATTGGGGAACCCCTGCTGGGGTTCTCACATCTAATTTCAGAGCAGGTGCATTTGCAAGTGTAAATGCTCCCTTAATGACTTCACACCAGAACAGATTGGGCTGTTTAGTGAAACATCCACTGGAATGTTAAATTGTTTTATTCTATGTCATAGACATCTGAATTTGAGGTTGGTTTGTGTCAAATTCGGTTTTATGTGAATAGTATTCTATAAGTATCTGGATAGACCTGTAGATTTTAAGTTTCCAGTTTACATTTTAAAGAACTGTAGTCATGATATTCAGCATATTACATTGTGAATTGCAGATTTTTCTGACCCTTGCTGCTAAGAAGCACACATTGAAATGCAGAGGTTTATAATGCTTTAACATTTTCTGGTTTATTTTAAGGTGCTGTGGCCTCTATGTTTTGGGTTGATGCTGAACTGGGAAGTGATATATACCTGGATGGTAAGCACAGATTGGAAATGGTGTATGAATTCATGTAAATTGAATATACTGTACTGTGAAGGGCTAGATTGCTTTATTGAAACTCTCTATATCAGTTGCTAATGGTTCACTAGTAAACATCATGAGAGATGTTTTTAGGCTGCTCTTGCTCAGTTTCTTTAAATGGTAGCTAGTTAGCTGTTTCATCATACTGATGCATTGGCTTTAATACGTACTGAGTTGCTGACTGGGAACTAGGGAGATACGGAATTCTGAATTTCCTTGATTTTGAAGGCTAAGTTCACCTTTTTAGGAAAAAAAATAAATGGCCGTATTTTTTGCAGTTCAAAAAATTTGCATTTATTATTTTTCCCTAGATTGCACCAACGATTAATGGATTGAGAGTGCAGTGTCAGGCTCTTGCATTCCCCTCTCTCCAACTTTCTGCCCATACCTCCCTACGGGCTTTCAGAGATAGAGTGAACAGACTAAATATGGATGTAACATTTTCTAAAGGGTGAGCTTATTCATTAATTTGGTGCTTACTTTTTTCAGTTCTTTGATATAGATGCTAGCAGAGCATTGACATTTTGTAGAAGGTCAACAATGACAGGCTAAATTCCTAACAAGATTCATGTACTTTAGCCACTTCCCCTACCTAGGGTGCACCCATACATCCTCAGGAACAGCTGTGCAGCCATGATCTTGGTATCAAAATTCGCAGCCAGCGATGGACTTTCATTCAAAAGAAGTCTGAGCAGCTCTACAGCCACCTGATCTTTTTCTGGATGCGATAGAGCCCCTCTCCTGCTGCTGCCTGCCACAATTACTGGGCTCTCCAGTTCCACCGGGACCGCTACATTTGGTCGGACCAGCTGCAGACAGAGGACAGGAGCGAACATCCGTTATTCCTCTTCTTGAGTGAGCAATGAAACTGGAAGCCATGTGTATTACGTCAATTCCAGTTTCAATTTTTTGTTTACTGGCCTTTTCTGGCCAGACAGGCAGCCAGTCAAATTGATCTCTATTTGATCGGCTGTGTTGGAAGCCAGAGGAGAAATCAGGAGCCTAATAGACCCCAGATCTCCCAATAAAGAGTACCTCTCTCTGCCCATGCTATCAAAAGGGATGTTGTTCATCCTTTGTGATAGCAATAAAGTTGAATTAAAAAATATATATATAAGAAATTAAAATTGTTGTGAACCTTAGAGTAATAATTCTAGCCCCAGAGCTCACGTTTAACTGTAAACTGGTAAGCTGTAAAAGCTTTTAAAATGTCATTTATGGAGATTTATAGGTAACATAGTTTGTTGCCTTTTCATGGGTGTGAAATATTTTAATACTTGACATACTTGGTATCTATGTATGGGGTGCAGCATCATCTTTTTATATTTAAAAAAAAAAAAAAATTGAGTATTTATATTGTGCTTGTGTGCACTAAAGTGCATTGAAATGTATTTATTTCTGGAAATTTGCATTTTGATAAATGGCTACACTTACTATTGTGCAGCTTAAAAATTGCAACAACCACTTTTATTCTCCAGGGCCTCTGCTTTCGGGAAATATATAATGTTTGGGTGTTCTAAGTAATGTAAGGTTTTGGAAAAAATCATGAGTTGTAAAAAAATGCCAGAATTAGCCTGGGCTGGAAGGAATTAGGGTAAAAGCTAATATAAGTCGAAACAAACTGCATACTCCCATGTTATGCACAAAAAAGTTTACAAAACATTTTGGGACAGAAGGAAGAGTATTATAGGACAGTCCAGGGAGAAAGTGTGAGTGTCTCATCACTCTACACCAGTCTTTCTCTGCCTTTTTACTTGAGAAGAACCCCATTCTTTGATGGTCACTGCGAAAAAAGAAAATCTGGTCATTGGGAAAAGAACCCCTTATTACTTTGGTGGTCATTGGGAGAAAAACACCGCATTAGGTTAGCCATACACATGTAGATTTTTCTCATTCAGCCCAGGTATGGATATTTTTACATAATTACATTGGTACAGCTTGGATCAATTTAACTATGCAGATACTATACACGTGGGATCCTGCTAGAACACGGGTGTCAAACTGGCGGCCCTCCAGCTGTTGCCAAACTACAAGTCCCATGAGGCATTGCAAGATTGACCGTTACAAGCATGACCCCCAAGGGCAGAGGCATGATGTGACTTGTAGTTTCACAATAGCTGGAGGGCTGCCAGTTTGACACCCCTGCTCTAGAAGCTGGAAAGCACTGCAGTAGGCACCCCTACTACAGTGATCTCCACTAGCTTCCAGGTTCCATGCTGAATGGCTACCCTGCTTCATTGTGAACACAGGAGGTCAGCTGCTATGCAATGACACCATTTGTAGAATATTTTGTATTTTCTCATGAATCCAGTGCGTTCTCTGCTTAGACAAGGTGGAGAGTGTGATGTTGCCACCCAGCCTCTCCACCTCAAACAACCAGAGAATGCTTTGCATTCACTTAGAAAATGCAAAGCAATCTCTGAATTGCGACCTTTCTGAGTGGTGAACCCCCTGTGTTCAGAATGCAGCCGAGCAGCTGTTCGTCATGGGACCTGGAAGGTAGTGGAGATCACTGCATTAACTGAGCCTAATAGTGATTTCCAGCTTCTAGAGGAATCCCACAGGTATGGTATATGCATAGTTACATTAGTCCGAGCTGGAGCAATATAATTATGTAAACATGGCAGTACCTGGAATTCTTGTTTAAAGCATGCTTTCCTTGATGAACCACAGGCCTAATATTGGTATTTCTGGAATGTGTCATAGGAGTGACCTAACCTAGTACTAGTAGGCACCCTATTATGAGTTATATTTGCCTGCAAGCATTGTCTTACATCTCTGTACTTGTGTTTTGTATTTCAAAGTCATTTCTGTTATGCTTTACATGCTGACTAGAACCACCAAACACTTTTGTGTGAGGCCCAGTAGGGTGAAGCAGGTACTGTTCAGTATTGCATTAGCAAAGACTGGGTCATGCTTAAAACCCATTAAGTGGGCATTCATACTCCAGTCAAAACTGAAAATTAAATGTTGAGAAGCATACAGGGAGTATTTTCTTTGTGGGCCTCCAATGGAAAAATGGTATTTATGTAGAAGACCTTCCTTTTTATAATGCTTATTTGCTGTTTAAGCTACATAATTTTCTTGCTAATATAGGGTTTTGTTTCTTCTGTCTGTGCTATTTGTAGGCATTGTATCAGTAATTGATGCCAAGTATGCATTGCAGGTATGTTGCATGAGGTGTTTCCTGTAGTAGCTGATTTTATACTGTACTCAAATCTTGAAAATCCCAGGAAGGTGCATACTCAAAATTAAGTGTGTTTTTTCATCTTAAACTAAAAGTAGATCCTTTTCCAGATCAGCATGGACGTGGATGTTTCTCCATTTTGAGTTAAAACAGATATTGTTTGTTTTTCCACTGGCCATCCAGGTTTATTGAACTCCTTGCTTGAGGTGACTAGCCTTATTGAGCACCTTACCAAAGTTCTTATTTATGCTTTTTGAAAAATAATAATGTACTATTTAACTAGTTCCAGACTTTGGGCGTGCTAAACATGCCCCAAAAAAACTTCATCACTGTACACAGGACATGTGTAGCACATCCAGTCTCTCTGCCCTGCTGCTGGGACCCCCTCTCCCAGTACACAGACCTTCTCGGCTCTGATTAGTCAATCAGGATTGCTGTGTACTCAGCACAGCTCTCTGCAGCTGTCAAAAATCAGTCTGACTCAGTGTTTATCAATAAGGCCACTTTCACACAGGAGGTCCGATCAGGTCCGCCTGTCAGTTTTTCAGGCAGACCTGATCGGATGGTCCATTCACCCCTATGGACGGGTGGGTGAAAATTAACTTGTGTACATCCAGGTCCAATCTGGTTCGCTAAAACAAAAAACTGGAAGGGGATCTGTCCCCTTCTTTTTAAATGGATCGGATCAGAGGGTAGTTGGGTGTAAATGGACAGCAGAGTTCGTTTACAACCGACTTCCCTTAGAGCAGAGTAGGCTCTGTCCCTGCCTGCTCCATATAAACTGAGCAGACACGGATGTGCCATCCACCTGCTCTGCTTCGATCAACAGGGGATCTGTTGATGGATCCCTTGCTGATCAGAATGGAGTCCACCTGGTCTGAAAGGGGCCTAACAACCCTTAGAGATGTAATCGAAAGATACAAAGTAACATAATGTTACTTTTCTATCATTCTGTTCATTCATCTGCAGATCAAAGGAATGAACTTCATTCTGCAGTTGATGTCATTTAAATCAATCTGACAAGTAAAAAAAATAAAAAAGTTCCTCTTTTTAATCCCTTAGTTAACCCTTGGTTTACTCCAATCAGCCCTAATTATCTCCCTTTTTCTCCTTTTCCCTTCAACTATTTTCCTCTGTGTTTTTTTTGCTATTTAAGAATATGTAAAACAAGCATTTCATATTCCTATGTGCCTGCTGTACTATGTACTTGTATGAAAAAGTATCCTGTTCTCTTTGTATTACCTCCTTTGTGTGAAATCCCTGATGTTCCTGCCAGTCCCTTTGCTTTCCTATTAAAAACTGACCACCCTAAGCAGGAGAACACACTGCCTTTTATTTATATTTTAAAATGAATGGGTTGTTTTACAAGGTGAGGGTTTACAATCACTTTAACCATTAAAATGCACAATTTTTATTTGCAGTAAGACTGTATATTTTTAAATTAACTGCTAAAAAAAAGTGTGGTTTTGTTTAGGTTTGTTTCATTTTCTTGTCTAAGGATATAAAAAATAAAATCATTGTTCCAAGACAATATCATAAACTTTTTTTTATTGCTGTCTGTCTCCGTTGGGGAGTCACTTCTCAATTTCTTGTGGTAATGGGACAGGATGTGAGGGGAATTTCCCCATTGGGGACAGGGACTATGAATTTAAACTTCTGCAAGATGAACCAAACACGCTACCTACATTAAAAGTAGTATTCGGTTTTAAAAAAAAAAAATTCATGGAACATTATCTTTATTAAAAATGTACCGTAATTCAAAACCCTTTGCTTAAAAGAAATGTATTTTTTCTTAATTACCCTCTGCATTTTTGTCTCTTTTCCCATATTTCCTCATGCCTCCTTCATTTAGATCTTAACTGTTTTTAAATACATTTTCTTTGTCATTTCTATTACATGGAAAACAAAATGATTTTTATGGCTGTTTGGTAAATAATGACATACTGAAAAACAATATAAATGGCAAATAAGTTTCAAAAGTTGAACATCTTTGTCGGCTGCTAAAATCTTTCAGATTCCATAATGATCCATCAGCACCAAATTGAAATCCTGTCATCATAGTAGTTGTCTTGAAAGCCTTTCTGTGATAGACAGAAGTAACTTTTCACTTCCCTGCAGTAGATTTGCTTGCTTGTTCAATTCCCTCGCCTGCAAGCCTTGACCTCAATAGCTGAATATTGCTGGGTTTGTTTCTGGCTAATACAACAGTGACAGTAGAACAAAAGGCAGCAATTTAAAGAGTGTCATGCTTCACAGACTTGGATCAGCATAGGTCGCTGAAAGCAATGCTGCTCTGTGACCACACTGCTAAATTGAAACTGAAGTGGTAATTGATATCAGGGCCCATCACGCTAATGGGATTGTCACCCAGAAATCAGATTTTTTATTTTTGTGGAAGAATAATTGGACAGAATGACATGACCGTTGTCTTCTCATTTGTCTTGAAATATCTGTTCTTAACATACTGTATACATATACATTTTTTTTTTTTTTTTTTACTTCATTGAATTTTTACGTAACCATTCACACAGAGCAGCTTTGTAGCAGCGGATAAAATAAATAACATAAGAATCTTGGATAGTGCTATTAAAATAACTTTTTGAAATTTTGACCATACTTTTGCTGTTTGATGTAGTCAGCTTGTAGTGTTTTTTTTGTTTTGTTTTTTAAAGATACTTATAGTATTTGTTTTTAAAAAGTAAAGTAATTGTGTAAAGTGGTATTGTAGTTTTAACTTTTTAAAAAAAAAACACAACTATTGTACGTAATTACTTTTTTCAAAGTTACTTAAAAAAAGAAGTATGCTAAATCTTACCTGTGCGCTTCTGTGACCCAGAATCAGCGGACAGCTGGCTAAAGTCCACTGTTGGCTGCTGTCACAGATCTGCTCCATGCTCTGGAAATATCCCGACAAACCTGTCGGGATCCACCCAGATGCCAAACAAACAGCTGGCTCAGCCTTTCAGTGCACTGCTGAGAGGCTGAACCATCTTCTGCCACCCCTTCCCTTGCCTGGTGCTTCAGTGTGCGATGGAGGGGTAGAGCGAAAAGTAGAGACTGACAGTCACCACTCTCATCTGAGAACTGAGTGATCAGCGGTCATATGATCACTTAGTTCTTGGTGTTATAGCCAGTAGGGGACAGCTGCAGCGTTAGATCAATGCTGCAGCAGGGAGGTCAGTATAGATGTTTTTTCCACACTTCACCTTTTTAAAGAATTTTTTTTTGTTTTTCAATAAAATGACAGCTTAACTTAAGGGGTCCTTTCAGCAAGCTGAAGGTTTATGCATTTTGTATCTCTTTATATTCCTGCACTCCCTGCATTTTATGAATGGTGACTGAGTTTTTGAATGAAAATGCCCTCAGCACTTGAGGGCATAATTGAATGCTGCTTCTTTCTCTCCACTCCAATGCTCTATGCTGCCAGAAATGAGTCGCAGCCCTTATTGTAAATGTGCTTTTATTGCAGAGGAAGAGAGGGATGTGTCTAACCAGTTCTGTTATCAAATTCTGATTACTGATTGCACTGGGTCTACGTCTTGTACATAGTGGTCTGCAAACTCCTCACAACTGCCATTACAGGAAAGTTCTGGGTAATGCCATTGTTTAGTGAGAGTGATTTCCGAAGGGAACTCTGTATGATCTCTTCCCAGTTGCCTTAGTTGTAATGATTATGCACACTTTTTCATATTTATACATGTCAGTGGAACATATGCCAGCTTACTTGGATTTCAAACGTTCCTAGAAATACAAAATGTATTTTATGGTGATAGTAAGGCCAGCGCTGCAAAAGCAGGAGAATCCTCTATTCTGTCTATGGAGTTGAAGCAGAGTTGAATCCAATTTTTCTGAGACCTTTAACAATCAAAATAGCGTTACACTTTCAACTGTTATTTTCTTTGTTGGAACTTTAAACCTATGTAATCTGATAGTTTTGATGGTCATTAGGGTTTTTGTTTTGTTTAGCATCTAACAGAGGAAAAACCCGAGGACCTTATTAATGAAGCTGCCAGGTAAAGTGTTGTTTATTGTTACATATTGTCCTTCTTGTGCATTCTGTTGTTGGCTGCATGTTTCCATAGAATGGTATGATATATTTAGGATGACATTTTTTTTCTGCTTGTTGCTGTCTTGTTTGAGACTGGTGTGATAACTTTTTAAAACCTGGCAATATATTCAATATGAAAAAAGACATTTTCAGTATAACAGGGTAATGTCTTGTGTGAAATGTGTCCAAATATTGCATGTCTGCTACATTTGTGCCCACTGCTGCTTAATAAAAAACCATTTTCATCCAGCAGACAGGTAGCACTAGCTGATGTGATACTCATCAACAAAATTGATTTAGTCTCTGTTGAAGACCTGGATGCAGTACATTCAGTTGTCAGGTAAATGTATTCGCTTTGTACTCGTTGCTTTTTTTTCAAGTGTTCCCTGTGTTTCCACATATTAAACTGCCAGAGCATATGAAATGCAGGCACTTAAGGATACCTACAGGTAGGTTCAGTAAGCACACTGAGATTTCTGAAAGCTGCAGTTCATTTTGGTTCAGGTGCTGAAGTCATGATTGGGCTTGCTCCATCATGCCCAAAAGTGATGGATGAATAATGAGGAGGTGAAAGAAGGTAAGCCAGAACTTGACTTCAGACACTGTGACCAGTATATGGGTAATTGAACTGTCTTGGTTTCAGAGCTTGTGGGGTGATGTTTAGGCTATCTGTAAATTTAAAGTCTATAGGCATAGAAAATTCAGTTTGTAAGTGATAGAAAACTGGCTAAAAGACTGTATTCAGACAGTACTGTTTTTAATTATTTCTGTTCTGAATGGTCTAAGGTTATTAATGGTATACGCCAAGGTTCAGTATTGGAAACCCTACTTTTTAACACTTTTTAACATATTTATAAATTATATTGGGCTCCAGTCACTAAAGCAGATCACATTTAAGTATCGCATGTGATCCTAAAATTGTCAACATTGGAAATACCACAAAAATGCGGTTTTGTGGTATTTCCTGCAAAACGCTTGGTAAATACTGCATAGAAAAGGGGTTAAAGTCAATTCACAGAAGGAAATAATTAAAAGCATGCGATAATTAAGTAGTGGTCCCGGCATGCGGTATTTAAGAAATGTAAAAAAGCCAATTTTGAGTAGTCCTTGCCTTTTTGGATCGGTTCTCTCAACAGTAATGCATAAAAAACCTGTATATGGAAATCATTGGAGTTGATTTACTTAAAGTATGAGTTTATATATACGCACATATATACATACCCTTCTTCCATCAATAAAAAAGACAACATTGTAGAAGAAGGGTAAACAATTGTTGTCGAAGATAAATACCTGCACATTTTGGAAAAATACTGCATGTGGTATTCTAGAAGGAGATTTTTTTAGTGAATACCAAAAAATTGTTTGAAAACTGTGATGAAGCGGTATTTTACCATATTTCTTAAAGCGGTAGGTACTGCTTCGTGAATAGAGCCCATCGAGTTTGGGGTCAAAAGTGCCATTTCATTGTTTTCAGATGACACCAAGCTATCCAGTGGAATGTCCATACAGGATGTCTCCAACTTACAAGCCAACCTCAATGCACTATTTATTAGGACAACTATGTGGCAAATGAGATTTATTGTTGAGAAATATAAAGTTATGCACTTGGGGGCTAAAAATATGCATGCACTATACATTCCAGGAAGAGAACAGCCGGGGGAGTAATTGGTTGAGAAGGATCTGGGTGTTCAGGTAGATCTCAGACTTAATAATAACATGCAATGCCAAGCTGCTGTTTCCAAAGGGAGCAAAATACTTTCTTGTATTAAGAGGTATAGACTCCAGAGAGAGAGATATCATTTTAACCTTGTACAAATGATAAACACCTCATCTGGAATATGCAGTTCAGTTTTTGGCACCAGTTCACAAAAAGGATATTGGGTGAACTAAAAGTGCAGAGAAGGGCAACCAAACTAATAAGAGGCATGGTGGAGCTCTGCTATGAGAAATGATTTACTGAACTGAATTTATTCTCGAAAAGATGCAATTAAGTAGGGATATGATCACCATGTATAAATACATTAGTGACCCATATAGGGAGCTTGGTGTTGAGTTATTCACATTCAGGTCATTACAGGGGGTGCTGTATACATCTGGAGAAAAAATATTTTATTGACAACTTCTGCAGAAAGCTCCATCCCCAACTCATCTATTGTGTGGTGGTGGAGGGATACATTTTTGAAAGTACTTTCCCAGACAGTTGCTTTTCTTTCTTCATGTCTCAGCGATAAGGCCACAATGAAAGGTGCATCAACAGGCATGTTTGGTTGTAAGTGTAGTATTTTATATGTTTATAGGACACTTGGGGTCCCTTCCAAAGAGTAGCGTCTGTTGTGATCAGCCGATAATCTGTAAGCCAATTCCTGGCGATTTCCCTTTTGTGAGATCCGTGTCCTTTCAGTTTTTTCTACATCTTGTAAGAGTCCATGGGCAGATGGATATAAGCCGACAGGCATCACCCTGTGTATCTTCTTTTTTTTTTTTTTGCCATAATATTTATTAGAACTTTACATACACTACCAAAAAATAGAAAACCGTATTAAGGGCTTCAGCCAGCAAGTGGCCCAGTTTGAGGTATCCAACTGTAAAAGGAGGGGCAGTATTGCCTCACAGGCTATATACAATGGGTACATAAAAATTAAAACAATAGACCTGAAAACCAACTGGTTGGTGATCAAAAAGTACTAAGAAAGATTATCAACAAGGCAAAACAAACTGAGTAAATAAATACTGCGCGCTGGGCCTCTGGTAGAAGCCATGCTTCTAGAAAGAAAGGGGAAAGAGGGAGATAAGAAAGAGATTGAAGGAAGAAAGGCAAGAAAAGGAAAAGGAAAAAGAACAAAGGCAAGAGATAGGTTGTCCACCCCTCAGGTCATCGTTGAACACTCTTCATGTAGGAGTTTGTAAGAATTGTAACCAAGGATTCCCCAACCCTGTCAAACCTTATTGTAGTGTCACGAAATATACTGACTATATAGTTAGCCAGGTAAGCTTGCGCTTTATCACCGCCAAAGCCACCACCGACTTCTTCCAGGCAGTAGCAATTGCTATTTTGCACGCCAGGAACAGAATATAAATTGGGCTCTTCATATGTCAAAGGGTCCCCTCCACTGGTTTATTAAGTAGGACCATTTTGGGGTCCTTGATCACATTCACCATTGTTACAGAGTATGAGTGAGTGGACCCTAATCCAAAATAGTCTAACTGCTACGGGACCACCACGTTTGGAATGCTGTGCCCACTTGACCGCAACCCCTGAAACACAGGGCAGGGGGACTCTGGATACATCTTATGCAGTCATTCAGGTATTAAGTACCAACGAGAATCCACCTTGTAAGCCCTTCTGATGTTCCCCGCGGTAACATCTATTTTCAAAGGTGGTAACGCGCCGTTCCTCCATCTGGAGTGAGGCTACACACAAACTGGAGAAAGTGTAAGATTTGTTGTAGGTGGTAAGTCTGAGACTGGCATCTCGAGTTGTTGGGTAAAATATTACTCTGGACATAGGATTGTTCGTTGATCTAGGGTGTAACCACATCAAGAGGTAGATAGGCTGGGGAGCACAGGCCTAAGCTTCCAGCGCCACCTAGTTGGGTCTGTAAATTGTGGAATATATTTGAGATAATTGTTGATCTGGGCTGCCCTGTGTATCTTTCAATAAAAAATTTAATCTGAGGAAAGGACTAGATGGATTCTGAGGTAGTTGAATGTAAATAAATTCATATTTTGTTTACAACAGTCTTCTCATAGACCAGCTTTGAGCTTTCATTCAGATCTGCCTGAAAAACTGACAGGTGGTTTCGATCAGAATGCTCATCTGAAAGGACTTTTATTTGTTGGTTTGATCTTTTGATTGTCATCTCATGACTATGGCTAGCTACATGTACCCCATGCATGAAACTGCAACCTATAGCATTTACATTATGGATGCCTGAGATGTAGATGTTTTGTACACCTAGTACACAAAAGCTGCTTGAACATAAAAAGAACAGAGATGCCAAGCCATTGTGCCCATCAGATCTCCTGACTTCAGTAAAGTAAGATTCTGTGTATCTTTTTCAAGCTTCAGACCAGTGATCACTAATTTCTCAACTCTGTTAAATATATAATCTGATCTAATTTCCATATCTGTCTCCATTTTATAGGTCAATAAATGGACTTGTGAAAATTTTGGAAACTCAAAGATCAAGGTTTGTACTATGCTTGAGCTTATTGAACTGTAAACTCATTGAATTAATTTTTGATGAGAAGAATAAGTGCATTTCTCAGTAAGTGCACATTCAAAATTGGCAGCATAGATCTGCCTAAAAGAGCTTATATTTTATTATGTATTCCTTTATTATGCCAATTGGTGTGAAAGCAACTTGCCTTTAATAATGTTGGCCACAGTGCTATAATCAGATTATTGATATCATTCCCTGCCAGGATTTTCTGCTTTTTGCCAGTTTAAAACTTTACTGTTATTGTGGATGCATTCATTACTCACCTTATGTTACATAATTTGAGAGATTTGTTTCAGACTGGTACTTTATTTTACAGACTTTATTTCTGGGAATGCTGCATATTTATGGTCAATAATTACCACTGACCAGTAACTCAGAACCCTCCTTGGTGAGGCTTTCTTGAGTTTGTGTCAGTTTCTAGACTAGCTGTCATGTCACTTTACATGGCCCACTTCTGTGCTGTTTTAGAGACTTTTGTATAACCTGAAATCAATGTACTTGCTGTTTCATTATGGTACTGTGTCAATAGAATCCTTCTTGCATTTTAGATGTGCAAGCTGTGTGAAAAGCAATTTTCTAATTAGACAAACTGCAGTTTAAATAGTAAGCAATACTGGCAGCGAAACTTCAGAATATACAATATTAAAGTGGTACTAAACACATTTTTAAAGTAAGAGATGTTATACTTACCTGCTCTGTGCAAGGATATTTCAGAGCAGTGTCTTATCTTCTCCTTTTCATCCCCCGCTGGCACTGTCTGTTCCTTCATTTCTCTGAGTACCCCCATAGCAAGCCATGTGCTGTGGGGGGCACTCATGCGGGCAAAATCCCGTTTGTTCATACTTGCACACAGCAGTCCCCGCTCTCCTCACAGGATTTGACCGACAGCAGTAGGAGCAATGACTCCTGCTGCTATCAGTGTAGTCTGTGAGAAGAGGAAGTGGGAGCAGCACTGAACACGGGCACAGCGCTGGATCGAGAGGAGACTCAGGTAGGTGTTTTGGGGATGGGCATGGAGGTGGGATCAGTAAAGTTTTTTTTTTTTTTTTTCTTTTTTTTTAATGCAGGAAATGCATTAAGGTAAACACATTTTACCTTTAGAATCAATTTAACCACTTGCCCTCCAGAGGATTTACCCCCTTACTGACCAGGCCATTTTTTGCACTATGGCTCTGCCTTACTTTAACTGACAAGTGAGCGGTCATGTAACGCTGTACAAAATGAAATGTATGTCCTTTTTTTTCCCCACAAATAGAGCTTTCTTTCGGTGGTATTTGATTACCTGTTCGTCTTCTATTTTTTGCGCTATAAACAAAAAAAACAATATTTTTGACTTTTTGCTATAAAACATATCCAGTAAAAAAAGTTTAAGAAATTAAATTTCTTCATAAATTTAGGACAAAATGTATTCTGCTACATGAAAAAAAAAATCCCAGTACATGTAAATGAATTGGTTTACGTGAAAGTTATAGCGTCTACAAATGGCGGAATATAGACTGGAATTCTATTTTTTTTTAATACTAGTAAGGGTGGTGATCAGTGACTTATAGCAGGACTGCGGCAGGCATTCTGATACTGGGGGAGAACTGACTAACTGCCACTGACATCCCAAGTGACACCAATACAGTGATCAGTGCTAATAAAAAGCACTGACACTGTACTTATGACACTGGGCAGAAGGGGTTAACATCTGGGGCGATCAAAGGGTTGACTGTGTGCTTTTTTTTTTTTTTTTTTTTACTAAGTGTGCTGTGTGTGTTTTACTTGGGAAAAAGTACTCCTGTGTATTTCTCTGCTGTGCAGCATTTTACTGCTGGCAGGAGAAGAGACCTGTGTTGTCTATACGATACTCGGCAATTGCCGGGGTGCCGCCCCCCTGCCCGGAAATGCAAAATGGTTTTGGTGTGTGTGTGTGTGTGTGTGTATGTATGTGTGTTTGTATATATGTATATGTGTGTGTGTGTGTGTGTGTGTGTGTGTGTGTGTGTATATATATATATATATATATATATATTATATATATATATAGTGTGTGCGTGTGATTTTGCGCAGCCCTTTCCACCCTATAGCAGTAATTCTGCTATAGGGTGTTAGGGAACCACTTAAAGCATATCTTAACCTAAAAATGAAATACACTAGCAACTTTAGCAGTCCTAAGATGTGGTGATTGCATTCTCTTTTCTGGCTATATAGACTTGTGCTGTACTTGCTAGAAAAAACGTTCTTGTGCTGAACAGAAATGGAAACTAATGCAGTCACCACATCTAAGGACTGATAAGCTGCAAAAAATATGTTTGTTCTTGAGTTTATATATATTATAATTAAAAAAAAAACATGTTTCAGGTTTACATTAAATGTGGTCAGAAAGATGGACTTTTAGCACATAAAAAAAAAAAAAGTAACGATAAATAAAGGTAAACACTAATAATAACTCAGAATTTTTACTCACTAAATACATTGTACTTCTTTTACTGCACCTGAGAGCCCAGGAGTGCTAATAAAGCTATCCACATAGTTTCCATCCTGTCCAGTAGTAGTAGTAGTAGTAGTAGTAGTAGTAGTAGTAGAGTTAGTAGTTGCGCTTTCCGAGTCCAGTAGACTGAGATTTGTCAAGTTGTTATGGTCTTCTACTTTACACCATTGTTATTTCTCACTGAGCTACCATATTAAGGAATTCTGCATAATTATTAGGTCTTGAAAAGAACAAAAACAAAAAATATATATCTTCTCCTGTTTAATGTTGAACTAGTTGAGTGTTTGATAGACAATATGTAAGAATACTGTGTGATTAGAATAGAGTAAAATATTAGAAAAGCGCCACACCTTTAACTACAAATAATATATATATAGCAGCAACTCCAAACCCAAAAAAATATTTTTTGGCATGAAACTAAATAAACAAACATAGGAATGTGCTAATAATTTAAATAAAACAACCAAATAAAGTGTCCATAAATCAATATGTGGAAGTCAAAACACCATAAACATATCCCAAAATCATCATGTGAAAATCATAACACCGTGATCAATCCACCACCAAATAAACTGAATAAACTCACCAGAGCTACTGTATATGCCGATCAAATTATAGACCAGCATAAGCGCTATTGCTCTGGGAGCGATGAATGTAGCAATTTCCAGGCTCTTTTTAGTGCAATGCTCTGCAGTGGTAAGGAACTTTCCAGGTAATGAGAACGCAACACTCTGTAGTATAGGCAAATTCCAGGCTTAAGAAGAAATACTCTGCAGCCAATCTTTAATAGAATGAGTAATTTCCATATATCACCATATCTCTGTGAATATTGGGACCACAGTGAGGGACAAAGAAAAGGCATGATGGTGCAGCGGAGCGCGTTCATTGTCTGTTCATTGTCCATTGTCTGTGCTATTGATGCTGGTGTCGGTCTGGACACCTTACTTGTGAGTGTTATGAATATTTATTAAACGAGTATTGTTTTAAAAACATGCTGCACCATCATGCCTTTTCTCTGTCCCTGAGTGTGGTCCCAATATTTAAGGAGATATGGTGATATATGGAAATTACTCATCTATGAAAGATTGGTTGCAGAGTATTTCTTCTTAAGCCTGGAATTTGCCTATACTACAGAGTGTTGCGTCTCATTACCTGGAAAGTTGCTTACCACTGCAGAGCATTGCACTAAAGAGCCTGGAAATTGCTACATTCATCGCTCCCAGAGCAATAGCGCTTATGCTGGTCTATAATTTGATCGGCATATAGTTCTGGTGAGTTTATCCAATTTATTTGGTGGTGGATTTATCACAGTGTTATGATTTTCACATGATGATTTTGGGATATGTTTATGGTGTTTGGACTTCCACATATTGATTTATGGACACTTTAATTGGTTGTTTAAATTATTAGCGCATTCCTATGTTTATTTAGTTTTGTGTGATTAGAATATTGGTTTTCATTCACAAGCATGTTGTAATATTTTGTGAAATAAATTTAATACTAATATATGAGCACACATATATACATATATACTGACACTTAAAAAAACTAAACAAAAAGTGGGTAAGAAGGTGTTTTACAAAATTGTGAGTGTGGTTACAAAAGTATTTTCCAAAAAAAGGACCATGAAATTGCAGCATTGTATATGCCCACTAGGTGGCACTGCATTGACAGTCTGTCTGTGCATTAGACTTCATTATGTAACTAAGAAAATAACATTATGTGCAAAAGAAGAAAATTACTATAAAGGGAATTTATTAAAACTGGAGCAGCCAGTTCAAGTCTGAATGCAGTGTGAAAAACTGGAAAATATCAGATATGACAACAAGTTTTGTGAACAGCATTCAACCATATTACTTCTTTACAAATGCTGTATTCATATATGTGTTTTTTTTTTTTTTTTTTATTACACACAGAGGGGAATTTACTAAGACTTGAGCAGCCAGAATCTGGAGCAGCTGTGCATGGCAACCAATCTGCTTCTATCTTCAGCTTATTTAGTTAAGCTTTCAAAACACTCCTAGATTGTAAGCTCAAATGAGAAAGGTCCTCTTGTTTCCTCTTGTACCAAATTTTTTTGTAACTGTAATGTCTACCTTCATTTTGTAAAGCTCTGCGCAAACTGTTAGCACTATATAAATCCTGTATAATAATAAATTCTAATAAAACAAAAGCTAGAAGCTGATTGGGTGCCCTTCACAGCTGCTTCAGATTCTGGCTGCTCAAGTCTTAGTAAATTCCCCTCTGTGTGTGTAAAAAAAAAAAAAATACATATATGAATACAGCATTTGTAAAGAAGTAATATAGTTGAATACTGTTCACAAAACTTGTCTGTCATATCTGATATTTTCCAGTTTTCACACTGCATTCAGACTTGCACTCAAAACATACAAAGCCCTAAGTTTTTTTTTTTTTTTTTAATGTATTGCTTTATGTACGACACAGCATCTGATATTTGTCAGCAGTTCTTTCTGCATATCAGTTCATTACTTAAAGCTGCTTGCTTTTAGCACCTTAAACAATAGAAAATATGAAGCCAAAATTGAGACATTTCTCAGATTAACATATACAGACATGATGAGATAAAATGACATCAATTGTATCAGTTGTAAAAAGGTAGATGTTTATTGCCAATTGGAGGATTCTGATAAGAGATAAAATAACTTTGTAGGAGTTGTTTCATACGTCATAACTTTGTGGGTAGTTCCCATTACTGATGAGATATCTTTTTGTTTTATAGAGTGGATTTATCAGAGATTTTGGATTTGCATTCATTTGACAGTTTGTCTGGAAGAAGGTACAGTCTGCCTTTATAATTTGTAAAGCAGTGTTTCTTTTTAGTTATCCAAGTAAAAACTGGAAAGCTTTGCATCTAACATTGTTAGATATCATCCAGGTAAAAAAGTAGTCTGGAAAATATTATTAGAGAGTTCCCGTTTTCCTGTTCTAGTTTCCAACTGTGGTGGACATCCTGCAGATGTAGAGCTGTTACTGAAGCCATAAGTCCAAGTATGTCTAATTAGCCGTTAAAGCTCAACTTCGAGCAACTAAATAAGTTATCTCTTGCAGTGGGGCTGCACCCACACTGCAAGGGTTAATGGCTCATTTCTTCTAGGGGAGAGGAGAAACTGTTTTATTTACTTGATCCCCTCACTTCTGCACACTCTGCCAGTGGACTGTCCCTTGGCTTCATCACATCCAGTGCAGGGCTATGGACCCCCCTGCTTTGGTCTTGACATCAGGATACTAGACCACTGAAGCATGGGGGAGAGTTGTTGAGGGAACTGGTGTAACTGCTGGAAGGAGCAGTTGATTGGGTTAATAGCATTTGTTTTGTTTCCCTAGGGCAATTAATCCTTGCACTGCAGGAACAGCCTGACTGCAAAGGATCATTTTTTGATTGCCCAGAGTTGGGCTTTAAAGCAGAGCACCCACCAAGCACTTCCATGGCCTTTCAGTCTATATACCTCCCTCAGACTGGGTGTCGGAGGCTTCACAAAGTTACAGTTGGACATTTAATGGCAGAATCTGACTGCATACCATTGTATCTAGTACATAGATTTGAGCATTTGTACCACTTGCAAAGAAATGTCTGTTCAATGTGTTGATACCCATGGTGATAATCTTTTCTCTAGTGATCATTAGAAATCAGCTGAGTAAATCCAATCTGGCTAACCCCCCTTTTCTCCTGTATAATTAATTGGCAAGACATTTCTGCTACAGTCACAAATTACCTGTAGACAACTTTAATTTAAAAAATTGACAGGATCTGTGGATACTTTTTGGAACAGACAGTTGGGTGAGGGGAATAAGCCCACAAAATCTGAAGGAGATTGCATTTGGACTTTATATGGATTAACTGCTAAAATGGGACACAATAGACTGATGGTGAGATAACCCATGTCATCAAACCACGTTTTTGGTACTGGCTAGCCTGTTTATTGCACAGATTAATTTAGGATTTGTTTTTTTGTTTTAATACTCTTCATGAGAGGGCTGTCGTTGCTGCCCTTATTCAGAAAAAGGTAGCTGCCTGGTTGTCTCTAGATTGAAATCAGTCACTTTCAAAGTCCCTGACCTGGAACTCCTGATTTGCCTACTGGGTCTTGAAGAGTATTGAAGTTGCTGCTTCATCGTGAAAACCAGGTAGCTAGCATTTTGAGAAAGAGGTCTGTATTTCTTCCACAATTAGTTTCTTGAAATGTTAGGTTTTAAGTGTAATTTATTGATTTGAATTGGTCTGTGGCATCTTGAATCTCTCAGAAGCTCTAGCAGTGAGATAGCGCACAGGTAAATGCTTTATGAAATCCTGTTTTTCTGCTGCATTACTAGTAATTTTAGATGGTAATCGAACGAGCAAGGCCCTCCTCTTCCTCCTGTATTGAATTGTATTGTAACTGTACTGTTTGCCCTCACGTTGTAAGCGCAAACTGTTGGCGATATATAAATCCTGTATAATAATAATAATATAAGTTAAAATAAACAGAAAAAAAAAAAGGGTACTTCTGTATGACCTTAACAAGTGTGGAGCACTCTTGCCTTAAAAAAAACATCTACATCCTTGCAAATTTGAAATATCTAGACAGATCATATTTATATAATATGTGCTCTTCTTTTCAGTCTGTTTACTCTTCAGTGTAAAGATTGGGAATGGTGTCCTATTCAGTTGATAAATGTGTACATGCTGAAGCATTTAGGTAGTGTTGATTCTGACCCATCTAATCAGCTATTTAATAATGGTGCTTTGATTCCCTCTTTAGCAGGGATTTGCCCTAACTGCAGGTACTAAATAGCTAAAGCAATCCCTTCAAGATGAAGCAGCTGCGAGGGATTAAACTTGACACCACCGCTGTTACATTTCCTGCAGAGCCTCATACACTCCAGCAGCTTGTCTACACATACACTTTCCCTCCCTTCTTTTATGTCCACTGTTACCAATTTACCCCTGACTGATCTGCTTAGACCTTGCAGATGTTTTGTTTTGAAGTCCCTGCCAGCCCCCTGGAGCTGAGAGTATTCTGCAATTCACGTGAATGTAATCTGGTAGACAATATTGAACTGCACATCCCACCGGGGAGGCCTTATATTGTCTGTTTAGCAATTTAATTTGGATATTTTGCTGAAGCAAATGAATGCTATTTGTATGCACAGCAATGGGGTCTCTTTCAGAGTCTTGCTATCCAGAAACTTCTAAATTATTGAATACCATACAGTGAAAATAAGATAATCTGGTTTTGTCACTTTTGTCATGATAGCTTGGTCAGTACAAGTCCATATGTGTTAGCCATGGTAAATGGTTCAATTTTCTAACAATGTTATCATGGATGGTTTTCTAATCAGTTCCTAATCAGTTCCTAATTGTAGGATAATCTACATAGCTTTACAAAGCTGTGATAAATTACATTACTGTATATTTTCCTTGTGATAAATATGCATGTTTATGCCCCCCTTCCTCATTACTAAGAGGCTACTGATCTAATTTCTACCTACCAGTGGGTTAGGATTCTTTTCCTGTCTTTGCACTTCACAACACACTTGGCAGCACACATGCTGTTTTTACTTTTTTTTTTTTTTTTTTAAATTATGATCTTTATTATACCGTCAGGTTGACATATCATTGCGGCAGTTGTAAGGAAGGCTGATCCATTTATACCTTTTTCCTAGGCATCTGATTTAGGCCACCTATACTCCTTTTCTTGTTTATTTTACGTTGGGGACACCTTAACTATGGTTTTCTCTATGTGCTGCACTACAGTCTTCAATGAGTTATTGAGTTTGTGGTACATACTCCTACACATGTTAACAATGTAACTTTGTTGTTGCATTATCTGAAGGCAATTTCTGTTGCCCATTTTGTTTTTTTTTTTTTTGCTTTTTTTCTTGTGTGTGTTTTTTTTTTTTATTATTATTATTATACAGGATTTATATAGTGCCAACAGTTTGCTCAGCACTTTACAATATAAAAATGTTTTAATGCATTCTAAATGCAGTGTATATACATCCACTCTTGTTATTCCTGACACCTTGATTTTTATGTATGTAAAGCCATAGAATGGTGAGGGGTTAGAACCTCTGTCAGGTTTAATTTGTTTTGCCTCTGCTAAAGACGTGTACTCTCTTGGCATCACTGTTGCCAGGACTGAAAATGCAAGAAAATTCAAAATTTTGAGTTGCCTCCAAAACACGAAAGAGGACATTTTTCACTGGGGACATTTGTTCCAGTGGCAGCTACCTAAAATGAAAATGTTCATCATTTTGGAGAAATTTCTTCTCTCTTCCTGATGTGTCTACACAAATGTTCCATTGCTCCATACTCTATTCAAAACTAAAAAGAACATTTTGGTTTTGAATAATAAAAGGGATGTGATTTCCAAATGTATTGATTACAAAATGAGCTTGAAGAATAAAGCAAAGCCAAGTGTATTAGCAGGGGATGAGTGGTGTTGTAGGTTTGGTTTGTTCTGTTACAGAGGAGCAATTAATGTTACCCTAATGTTGATTCTTTGACTTACATTTTCACAGCTTACAGGACAAATTAATCTCTGGCACACCTCATAATCATCTTGATAAGGTAAAGTTTACCTTTGTGTATTGTTATATGTACTATTGTAGTATACTCGTGTATATGGAACATGCCATTTTTGTCATTAGTAAAAAGTAATACATTCAATTGATGGGCATATTCTCTTGTTGATGGTGACGGTAACATACACATTTTTTTCTTTTTATCTTTTTGTATTTTTAAAATATTTTGCTTGTAGATAAATGTAATATTATTGCAAATGATAAAGACCTATGCGCTACTATGTTCCAATTAAAGTGATAATATCAGAGAAGAAGATTGCTGCACTCACTACTCTGATGTACTCACACTCAGAATGTATGGTTTTATTTATGAGGAGATAGCGCACACCACATTTGTTTCATTTATTTAATTTTGAGAAAATAAAATGACAGTCCATAATTGTGTTACACATTTCTTTGGACTGTCATTTAATGTGCTCAAAATTTTTTGGTTTTATTTATGGGGAGATAGCTCACCACATTTGTTTCATAAATGTAATATTATGTATAACTTTAATAAGAGATATTTACAGACAAACGAATAACTCCTGTGATGTGATGATGTTTTTTGCTCTTACAATTCTATAAGAGTATTATAGCAATACTTTTGTTCTGTATGACCTACAGCCAGTTTTTTGGTCATGTAAATTCTGCAGCCTTGCAGAGATTATACAAGTGCATTTTTATCATTAAAAAAGTCAAAAAGGTTGTAGAAAATGTATGGAAATCCACAAATAACATTTCTGTTGATTAGAAGTAACTTTCTATAAAGGGGTTTTAGGGGTATGATCTAGCTAATTCCGTGTCCTGTATAAGCTGGTATTGCCCTGTTGACATATTGGGAACAATCCCAAAAAATGTCTTGTTGCCCATAGCAACCAGTCAGAATCCTTTGATTTTCAACTCCACTATAGGGAAATGACAGCCGTGTGCAGCAAGAGATGTTCTAGTTAACACACTTTTCTTACACATGGCCTTTTTTTGTATAGTTTACTATCCATAACAAGATCAACTGAACCTATATTGAATTGAATTATCAAATCACCTGAAAAACTCTCCGCAGATTACAATTCAAATGAAAGTTCTGGCTTATGGAATGCTATCATTGTTGGTATATGAAAATCAAAACCTATTGATTAATTTTATGAGAATACGAACTAAACAGGAGAAATCTATTGATTCCTACATCCACACTAATGGCACGGATGGGCAAATCTCCTCTGCTGACTATTGCACTTTGACAGCCAGCATCTATAGCTGTCAGAATACCCAAAGAGTGGCTGCAGCTGACTGGATGCAATCGCTGTTCAGCTATTTTTCCATCCAACTCCTTCTGTTTTCAGATGGATGGATGTCGGGCAGGATGGTGCTGACAATCAGGAACCAGACTGAATTAATTCTGTGTATGGCCAGCTTTACATTTTTACCTGTTATCCTGTTGGTCTAAATTCAATACATCCTTACAGATTTTTTTTTTTTCAACAATACATTTCCTAAAGAGATCAGTTTCCCTCTAGTAGTTTGGTCTTGTGATCAGTGCTGTGGCATTGGACTTGAACCTGATCATAAAATATTCACAGTGAGTTACATGTAAGGAACACTTCACAGACTATTAGTGCTGTAGCTCTTCATCTTTATCCTGACCTGGTATGCAGCTAGCTGCCTTACTGCAAAAAAAAAAAATCTGTGTGAGTTTCGGTATCCTACGTTTGTCATTGGCTAAGGAAGTTTAGGTGACATACTACTTGGCTATGGATACCACCATCTCCTAGTTAGGAAGCTTGGGAATGTACCAGGGGACTGTATCCCATTTAGAAGCTCTGTTAATGCTTTTTGACTCTGGCTGCAGTTGATTATATAAATTTTTGTTTTCAAATTTAGTGAACCTACCAACTTTACAGGATAGTTCACTTTCACATAGCAGTCCACAGCCATGACATGCAGGAAAATAAGTAGTGAGTTACTTTAGTTTAGGGGCCTAGGCAGGAATATATGCACTCTTTGTGAAAGTGCACTTATCCTTTAACAGAACAGCAGTGTTTTCTGGATAGTTCTGATTAAATTTACTTGTTGATCCTCATGTCTAAAGTATTTTGAGTTCTATGGTTATACCATGTTTAAAATGACTACAATTTGAAAATCAGCAAAGAAGATTTTGAATAGAATGTTTGTTTATCAAATGTCACAGCTGTTGGGGGTATTCAGAGACCTGACTTGAGTATACTACAGTCCTATGACTGTTAGTATGGTGAGTTGCTTAGTGCTGAACTGTAGGAGTTGAGATGTCTCTGTCGATTGGGAGCAGTTGTTGTTTTGGATCATTACATAAAACAAGCTTTTTATAAGCTTTTTCTTTCACCCAGAACTACAGAAAGTAAACAGTCATTTCCTCCCTTTCCCTGAGATCCTTACCACCTATCAACCTGCAAATAAACATGTGAAGAGGTTCCACAGAAACCTAATATATACAGTTTTAGCTGAAGGGACCCTTGCTGGGGGAATTGGCACTTTTTCCTTTTTTATTGTAATGAGCCCTTTTATTTAGAAAAGAGTGAGCACCTCAAAAACATTGTACAAGTACAAATTCAGCTCTTAAACAATGTGATCCACAATAAAGAGCTTCCTGCAAGTTTCACAGTTAGCATCTCAATGCACCAGCAAGCAGTGAATGCCCATGGTGTGAACTTTCTTAATGAGTTCCTGCTTCTCCATGACATTGTATGTTGTTCCTCTAGATTGTTTGGCTTGCACTATATACTCTTAACATTATAACTAAGACTCTTTAAGAACAGCTTCTGACAAGATGATCTATTCAGTCATTGACATTTAAAGTGTAAAGTTATCTGTTGCTCTTTTATTTTTTTTTTTGCTGAGAAGTAAAAAATGTTTTGCTGAGGTCCACAAAAAAAAACAAAACGTTAAAGCGAAACTTCACCCAGAAGGAGAAGTTCCACTTGTCTACATTCTGCCTCTCTCCACTGCCACATTTGGCACTTTTTTTGGGGTAGCGGGGTACCCACTACCACTACCGGTCAGATGCGCTGCGGCGATCTGAGCCAGAAGTTTGGCCCCCTCTTCTTCCCTGCAGCCTTCTGAGACACTTCACAGGTCCCAGAAGACTGCAGGACCATTCACAAAGTGCAGTGCGCCTGTGCAGTAGGAAATGGCTGTGATGCCGCAAGGCTTCACTACTGGTTTCCCTTACTTAAAAGCATAGTTCCACTCACCGGTCAACAAATAAGTCGGCAGCTACAAAAACTGTGGTGCCTCCCCTGCAGCCTGTTTCACCGGCCATCCTGTATTCCAGGAGGCCGGCACCTTCAGTGTGGGCACCCTGCTGTGATAGCTTGTGGCTTCACAGCTGGGTACCCACTGTGCATGCATGAGTAGTGCTGCGCTTCGTGAATGGTCCTGTAGTTTTCTGGGACCTGTCACGTGTTCCAAAAGACTACAGGGAGGGAGGGAGGAAGGACACCTTCCGCTTCCGATCGCCTAGGCGATCGGACCGGAAGTGTGAGCGGTTACCTGTCCATTTTGGGTACCTGCTCCACCCCCCCCCCGCCCCCCAAAAGTGCCAATCCTTTATGGGGAGCGGGGGAGCAGTCCTTAAAGCAGAACTTCCCCTTTTGGGTGGAGCTCAGCTTTAAGATGCTGGCGCCTGCAGCCGAAGCCGATTGAAGAAATGGCTCAGGTAAAGACATTGCTGGATCCCTGGACAGGTAAGTGTCCTTTATATTAAAGTCTGCAGCTACAGTATTTGTGGCTGCTGACTTTTAATTTTTTTGTGGTGAGCCTGGAGCTCCACTTTAAATAAATATATATACGCACTCTGGAGAGGGATGGTCATGCTTCCTGTGTGTATGTGTGCACATTCAGCACAGTGACGCTGAGCCTGACAAAAGTTCAAGATTGGCATCATTGAATAAAAGACTCTGTCCAGCCAGTGCGCCTGTCACACAGAAGGGCATAGCAGCAAGCAGCGCTGTGCTCAGGGCTCAGTGTCACTGAAAAGCTTGCAGGCAGTTATAATAGATCTTGGGCTTAATTTACGAAGCTTTAACACCAGCCTCGGACACTCTGTGGCCAATTCAATAAGGAATTTGACACACATTTCTGGTGGTATGTATGAAACTGGAAGCCTTGCACCAAGTTCATAAAAAAACCTATAAGATTTCATTATTGGTACCAATGCATGTGACACATTCAAGTATTTCTTTGCAAAAACTCTTACTGTATGGCGCTATTTTTATTTCAGATTCACAAAAAAAGTACCGCCTTATCAGTGATAAGAAAAGTGGCAGTACATAAGACCTCTTTTCCATGTTGGAGCAAATTGTTAATTGTGTTGCATGTCTAATTTATGGCTTTGTATCTTTTCAGACAGTTTTGTGATGAAATTTGTCATTAACCACTTCAACATCGGGACAATTCTGCCACTTCTCACGTATATAGTCAGGTCCATAAATATTGGGACATGGACACATTTCTAACATTTTTGGCTCTATACACCACCACAATGGATTTGAAATGAAACGAACAAGATGTGCTTTAACTGCAGACTGTCAGCTTTAATGTGAGGGTATTTACATCCAAATCAGGTGAACGGTGTAGGAATTACAACAGTTTGCATATGTGCCTCCCACTTGTTAAGGGACCAAAATTAATGGGACAGAATAATAATCATAAATCAAACTTTCACTTTTTAATACTTGGTTGCAAATCCTTTGCAGTCAATTACAGCCTGAAGTCTGGAACGCATAGACATCACCAGACGCTGGGTTTCATCCCTGGTGATGCTCTGCCAGGCCTCTACTGCAACTGTCTTCAGTTCCTGCTTGTTCTTGGGGAATTTTCCCTTCAGTTTTGTCTTCAGCAAGTGAAATGCATGCTCAATCGGATTCAGGTCAGGTGATTGACTTGGCCATTGCATAACATTCCACTTCTTTCCCTTAAAAAACCTCTTTGGTTGCTTTTGCAGTATGCTTTGGGTCATTGGCCATCTGCACT